CAGGAATTTTCTTATACGCAGATGTAAGTGGGAAACAAACAAAACAAGTGGAGCTCTGTATTTTTCCAAATTTAAGAGTGACTCAGAGGTATTAAATATGTGAGTGCAGATCTTCCAGTTATATGCAAACTTCCCAGACATGCAAGCACGCTACATATACCGGGTGAACGTCAGATTCCTGGTTTTTTTAATTAGAAAGGAGGAGGAATCCCATAAAGTCTTGCATATCTTTCGCTAAGGTGCTGAAAGCGTTACATGAGAACACATTTCACTGGAGTAATTGGGGAAGTGAAGACATCACTAAAAACCTGAAGAACTACAATCTTTTCTGAAAGAAATTTGTCAGTTTAAATGTGATCGCTTAATTTTAAACCACATTGCTGGTTTGGACTTTGTGCAAAAGCTTAGGTTTTTGGATTGAGAAGCCCTTAGAACCTGCAATTTAGGAAGCCCTCCTAGATTACTGGAATCATTCAGTCTAGATCTTAATCCTTTTTTATGAAACCAGCTTTCTGACCTGTCAAGTTGCTTTGCATACAAAAAAACAAAAAAGGAAGGTGGGGGGGCGAGGAAGAGAGGGGGAAAACAAGGAAGAGAGGGGGAAGAAAAAAAAAGTCTAAGAAAAATTAAACAGGCCCAAAGGCTGTAGCCAAGCAAATAAAAAGATTGGGTCCTGAATTAAGTGAAATACCTCTGTAAGTGCTACAAACACTCCACAAAGGTATTTTCAGCCTTCTCCTTAAACAGCCTAGGCCAACAACTGCAATTAAAAGTGAAATTAAATTCTCCATAAAATAAAGAAGTTTTATGTTTACCAAGTACAAGTTTCCAAGGATTCTTTAAAAATAATTAGTCATTAATAATTAAGGATTTATTTGGCTCAGATCTACATTAAAGAACCAGAGGAAAATCACCCCTCTTAGAAATGGCTGTGAAGCAGCCTAACAAAGCGTGGAAGACGTCACCTAACAATCAGCACTATTCATTACCCCAAATAAGAGGGCCTTTGTCCCCGTAGTAACTGAGGATGTCACTGCTCTGTTCAAGATGGAGACAGACTTCAGAAATACCACTGGAATTTCTGCAAATTGTATAATTCTTTGCCATAATTTGTTAGTTTCTTATTCAAGCATAAGTTGTAGTGGCCAAAAACACTCTTGTTCTTGTGTTCATAATACTAGCTCCTGCCGAAGTCCACGGGAATCGGGCTCAGTCAACAGTAGACTTTAATATGGTTGCACAAATACAAAAAAGGAAAGAGCTTGAGACATAAGCAATGGAACAGTGCTCACTTAAAATCCATCTCCCTGTACTGCATAATACTTTCAGCAAGGATCATGATCAGCTTCCTATGAAACTGGCCATATGCTTCACAACAACAGCACTATTTACTTATGCAGCTGAACAACCTACCTTGGAAAAGTACGACTTCGAAGTTCCTTTATAAAGACTTGACTCCCGTTCTGTACAGGTTTGACCTCTGTAGTCTGTCCAGTATCGTGTTTATGCCAATTTCTTTTCTTTTTCACTGAAAAAGAATTAATTGGACAGCACCATATGCTAAGTAGAAGATAATTATTAAGACATTTGATGGAAGGACAGATCTTCATAGCACTTCTTATGTGAGCAGAGAAGAGGGAACCCCCACTATGCTGCATTGCAAATTTTAATATTGCTCTTGATTCTCCATTAGACAATTATACTGTAGCCTGAAGATCTATTACATACTGAACAGCGTTCGTTTTGTAACATAAGGGCAACCAGACGGATAATTACTGAGCTGCACAGCTACCACAGGCTTTATGCAAACACGGGCTCTGGACATTTTGCACTTGCCAGACTATACACTTAATCTTTATCATAAAACTCTTAGAAAGCCACTTTTCTGCTTTTCCAATGTGTACTACTGATCTTTATGAACATATTTATAATGAATTACCTTAGTCTAAAGGTCTGTTCAAAAGTAAGTAGCAGATTTCACATTGATTTTGATGGGCTTTGAATTACGCCCTGCATATAAATTCCACATAAAAGATTTAAAAAAAAAAAAAAGTGCAAGGACACTGTAAATGCAATTTTTAGAACTCCTTTTATTCCTACGTTTTGATACACAAGCCTAGCTTAGGTCTTAAGTTGACAGGACCAAGCAAAAGGCCCCTGAACAATGTTCCCAGCGGGTGACAGACATACAGGCAAGTTCATCATGGAAAAAGGGTCAGCTGGATAAGCACAAATAAGTAAGTCAAATGTCAGTGTAGTTCTGCCTTGCCTTTTTGACAGCCTGATAACACAGAGCAAGAAAAACTGGTCAGCTTTTTATTTTAGTTAGCTTTATCTCTCTCAGCTGTCCCTGCTTTTAGGTTCCGTTTCGACATGCTCATTTTTTTAGTAAATTGTTTTTGTCCCAAGTGCATATTCATATTATTTTAAGCTTATGCTAGCAGAATTTTTATATGTCACAACTTTCTTTTATTTTTTACTCTTCTTTTACATTGTGAAACTCAAAATTTTACTCCGCTGTCAAGATGTCTTATGCTCTTCTTACTGTTCAAAACAATTGGGGAAGGAGCCAGACTCCTCAGTAACCATGCATGGACAGCACCCTTTCCCCCGTCTTTGCAATGCACACACACATATCCATATGCTTTTTCATCAAGAAATGAATGTGGAGGCCACAGCTATTAACACATAAGGTCCAGAAAATGTTAACTTTGTTTTCTTGACCACAACCCTGGAATAACTCATGGAAAGACATCTACCAACGAATCCATCCCAGGTTTTGCACAAAGCATGTCGGTTTTATTAGTTCCATGCAGCTCTCCAGCCTAGCTGGATATATTCATTAAAGCTGCTAGTTCTTTATCTTAATGACTCTCAGGCTTAGTGTATTAATTCAGTGCTCCTGGTAACAAAGGAAACAAGCCCTACATGAATACCAAACCTTCCTCCTTTCCTTTCCAGTGCCTGCCCCCTCCCCCCAACAGATCTGCTCTAACGCTGGGATTCGGGATCCGTAGCACAAGTCCCAGGGAAACAGGTGTGCTGCTTGCCATAGCCAAAACTAAAGCGCTTACCAAAGAAGCATGCTCTGCTATTGCACTTAAGATAGCATGGAACATCAGGGAAAAAAAAAGCAGCAAATCAGTGGGGTTTTAAGACATTCACTGCAACTCTTCAAAAAGCGCAAGGAGTTATTTCCTTAGGTACCAAGGGGCAGTAGGCATCCGCCTCTCTCAGAGGGGCAGCAGAGCCGCATCTGCCTCTGGACCTCTCCCCAGGAGGAGCGATCTCACGCATCGCAGCAGTCGTCTGCTGCAGACCATTATACTACATCAAACAATCAGCATTTGGCCCATTTTCAGTCACTCTCTCTACGTTTCATCTTTACCATGAACACCGCGGTAAGGATTAACAGCCATTGACATGTGTAAGAAATGCTAGCTTTGGACAAAAAGGAGCACTTTTTCTTAAATTTATTCAGATTTATTTCTTTCTGCAAAACTTTCTGATCAAAGTTTGACCTTTCAAAAGCATAACCCTCTTCTCCAACAGAAAACCCTCCAGAGGAAAAAGGGAACACATTTTTATGAAAACTAAATCTCAGAATGAATAATTCTAGATTTGAAATATATACACTCACATTTTTAAAATACATTTACAAAGAAATGATACCCAGAAGCACCCTGTTAGTTCTCTGTTTTCATTGATTTATTTATTTTAAAACAGTTTCAGCCTGATTTTATTTTGCTCACGTCTGTGCAACTTCACTGTTTCCAACAGAATTTCCCCTGATTTTCACTGCTGTAAATGAGAGAGCAATCAAATCAAACATTTCAGACTGTGTTATGGAAATGACTCAAGCCTGCCTAAACAGAGCACTTACTTACATTTTATTTAAATGACGTCAGAAAAATTTTTGTGAATGTGTATAATTTTTCCCAAAGAGAAGTCCCTACAAATTTCATTAAACTGAAATGCCTTAGAATGTCATATGACAGGAAATAATCTTCTGAAATAGTAGCCACCGAGCCACATTGGTAAAGTGGAAAAATGCAAGAAGAGGAAAATGATTTTTAACTTTGACATCTGGAAAACATATATTCTGGAATGTGTGCTCCAGAAATACACATATATTTTTAAATCCAGACAAGTTGCGTAACAGACAATTGGTGTCTGTGCTTCCCTTTGCTAATCTTGCAATAATTAAATTCTACCAGTGAATTTCTGGCTCTTGAACAACACTTACTCATTTATTACAAAACTGATACTGCTAGATAACTAGTTTGAACATATACTGTAACAGTTCATAAACAAATGAAACCGATCATCTCAAAGAACTCCCAGTAGGGTATAAGTAAGTGCAGTGTATGCAGAACGTACTGCATGTAAAGCTTGACAGAATGAGTGCACTAAGTCAAGCTGTTCCTCCCTTCGTTTACATTGATCTTTTAACTTTTCTAGCCTGTTGCACTCCGCAAGGAGGGGCTACAGGATAACCGCCTAATTTTTCAACAGGACCTACGATTCTCTTAGTTAATAGCGAAAATTGTTATACATCTTGAGAACCTGTGATCTTACAACCCACCAAAATTCAAGGTAAGGTAATCTAGAACTAATGTTTGAAAGTTCCTGCAAATTTTTTACACTCAACTGCTTTAATGATTGCTCTTGTACCTAATTAAACTTCCTGTAATGCATTTGTAGGGAGAAAAATAAAATCATATTGTTTAACTGCAAAATGATATAATGTTGTGTATTTCTACCACACTGATAGCCTCATATATTGACGGGACTACAGCAGAGGCAGTGTTCTGATACAGCACTTTCTGCAATGCTGTACAACGCAGATTGTGAGGGACACACTGCCAAAGTCAGATCTTATTTGGAGTAAAAAGACGTGAATAGCCAAATCCACTTAAACCGTTAGTAGGTAGTTGTTGGTTCAACTCTTCTTGTCATAGTTGGTATAGTAAACTTGCAATCTTCTTATCAAAACAACCACTGCCTGAATTCTAACACTATGCACCACTTTTTATAGAATTCATATTTAATTCCTGATTATAGACTGCTGCTACATCTGTCTGATTTTCCCCCCTCACACTGAAAAGTAGATGCCTTTCATCATTCATAATTCAAAGGAAAGTGGAAGAAATCAAAGCATCAGACACATTTCAATGTTATGCAAGACTGTCAGAGGCTAGAAATCCTGTGCTTTCTTCCACTCTGGGTCAATAATAGCCTCCGAGTATCTGCAGTCATACCTCCCTTTTCAACACAAGCCATTCTACTGGCAGATTGTCCACTTTTAGATGATTTGTGGTTATTTGTTTGACCAATTTCCAGTCCATTTGTCAGAAAACTTCCAACAAAACATTAGAAAGACTGATTCATTCAAATCAAAACATTTTGTGGGGACATATCGATTTTGTTAAGCCTTTCATGACAAGCCTCTTGAGGGATTTTTTGCCAGCTCACCCAATTTGTGGGTGCCCTGGTTTGCACCCATGTTGTTAGCAGACCATCTGGGAGACAGGAACAACCGCTGCTCATTCAGGTTGCTAACTCAGACTTCATTTTGAAAAAGTTCAAGTGCAAAAATGATTCTAATTTTTTCCCCAAAATGAACTTTTCAGATTCTTCCCCTTTCCTACCAGAAATTTTTTTAACTTGAATTTTTCAATGCAGAGCAGAAATAATTGCTTGCTTCTAAAATTATCGAATTTTAATGCAACAGAAATCTATTTCTAGCCACCCCTTACTTCTCAAGAAAAAATAAACATTATGATTGCTTCAACTACTGGCACAGATGAGCACAGTATCTTTCCTCTGTATATTGCCATAATGTAGCAAAACAGTGAAAAACTCTGCATCATTGTTGCTTATTTATAATAAATGGCTTTCAAGTAAAGCATTTATTTTTAGTCATTGGTGTCTTTTTTTTTTCCCCCACTGAATAATACAAAGAATTTGGAATTAATCTGACCAAAGCAAACACATCCTACAGTTCTTTCTCAGACAAAACTCCCACTGAGATCAACTGTCACTTTTACTCAGGAGAACTTTTGCCTGCGAAAGAACTACCAGAATTGGCACTCTCAGTGCATCCTACAATTTTGACTGCCACTGAAATTGCTACAGTTTTATATCTAGGCCAAGCATAACATACTGTTTCTTATTCTGCTTATCAGAAGACAAAAAACATTATGTAGCTTCTAAAAACACTCTATTAGAAGTAGCTATCTCTGCAGAAATGTTTATAGTCTACAGTCCTAAGGGTTTCACAATTTTTAATTCCTTGTGAGGAAGAAAGGGTTATTATCATCTCACAGATTGAGGACTGAAGTAGGACAGGTAGGGTGACTTGCTGTAGCTCACATATACTGCCTGGAGCTAGGCTAGGCAGAGAGCTGAATTCAGATCTCCAGCATCCCAGTCCTTGTTTTTCTCCTCCCACCCCCAACACCTTTTTTTAAGCTCAAGTTTGAACTCCAATTTTTATGATGCGAGCTATTTAAATGTCTCTTTATTAAAAAAAAAAAGGAGGGGGGAAGATTTATTTTGCTTAAACATAAAGAATCTATTATCTGTATGAGGAGCAGCCAAGCAAGTATACTTACAAGTAGACTTTCCATGGGTTTTCTCACAATTAGGACAATGATAGATGTCAATGTCTGGTGCCTCTTCTTCTTCAACACCCACACAGCTGGAAAATTTAAAGACACTAGCTTTAGCCTATTTGCAAACATGCAAGCCCACAGTTAATAACGAAAAAAAAAAAATCAAGCTGCGCATTTAGTATGCAGCTATGTTGACTGCTAAGGGCTATACCAAAGCAAAGCTTAAGTGCTTTTCACATACATACAGTTAGACTGTATTTTTTGCAGCCTACATTCCTGATGCAGTGCTAAAAGAGGTGTCATTCAGAAGCCCGCTACCAGCTTACTGTGGACCTCCCTTAAAACGTGGCAGAAAGTCCCCAAGAACCTTTTCTTCCTAATTAGAGAGACCATTTTGTATCTACACTGAGTTCTTCAAGCACCATCCAGCATAACCTAACTAACAAAACATCTTCTTAACCAAGCGTGTACGAACAGCTGCTAGGTCCTAGAGTAATCTTGGCAAGCTATACCATATGCCAGACTTCTGTAGGCTCCATCTCTATTACAATATATGAAGATGAGGAGGAAAAGACGACGCATCGCTCACAGCACTTCTGGCTGCCAAGAAGATGGGCTGTATCATGGCAGCTGCTTAGAACACCCACTGAGATTATTTTGGATGGCACAACATATGTAACAATACAGTGCAGCCTGCAGGCACGCTGTGTGAATGCAATCCAACGGCAGAACACAGCACTGGGGAAAAACAAAACTAAATTGCAAAGGAATGAAGTATCCAAGATAAGAAGTTGTTGCACAGTCAAAGTACTGAGCAGCCAGCCAAATAATCAGACTGCAGAATGGCACTGTTCCTTCAGAAGGAGCAGAGCAAACAGGGCTCTGTTCCTGCTTGTCCTGTCTGAAATGGCCCAGACTGCAAGGCACATTTGCAGCACAGAAAAAGCTTCAGCTGCCTTACAGAAAGCTGGGTGCTCTGCGATACCGCTCTCAAGGCATGGCTCCATGAGAGCTTAACTAGGCGAGAGGGTCCAAGAGAGCACAACAATGGCAGCTTCCCCTTATCATCTGCACAGACAAGGCTAGATCACGTCATGGTAAGAACAACCTTGGAGTTTCTCTACGTTCTAAAACGCCTTTGCAGCACTCCCTGGCTAGCCAAAAACTCCAGTAGACCCCTTCTGCCAGAGGAAGGGTTTGGACCTGCGTCATGGAGATGCCATCTTCATACATGTGGTAGCATTCAGCCTCTTCATATCCCACTGGCGGTGCAGAGCGGTAATTAGTACAGGAAGACTCCAACGCACGGTTCTCGGTGGCTAGTTCTGAACTGCGGAAAGCATGGGAATGAGTATGTTTGGTTTTCTCCCACGCACGAGGCAAGAGGTGGGTCAATTCTGTCAAGCGACAAAAGCATTCTCAAAGCATTCTCACTGGGCTCAAGCTGTCCAAAATTGCAAACAAGTAACTAGACAAATTAATGTAGGCTGGGTACATCAGTAATTACTAAACACGATGGTCTAGGTGCAAGAAGGCCCTAAACTGCTGGAAGACAGGAACGTGCATTAGTGGAAGGACTAGGTATGATCACACTTGCCTAGTCCCTGTATGCTTATCTAAGCATTGCTGCTCAACACTGTTGTTAACCATCTACCTGGCTAAATAGACCTCTTTTTATGACTTTTTTTGTGTGTACACACAAACATATTTGCCTGGCTGGGACAGGAGACGTTTCTTAGAAAAACTGAGAGGAGAAATATATAACTCTTAAAATTTACTATGATCCTCTATTTACAAAGACAGGTTTGAAACCACTTCTGAAGCAAAGTTACACAGTGATGTGTAACAGTAAGGATAAAAAACCAGCATCAACAGAACCCATAGCAAGCCTGTAACAGAAAAAGCCAGTTTGCTAAGATATGGAAACAAATCTTTTTACAACCACTGTAAATGCTTTGTCAAAAAAAGATTCTGCCAGATACGTTGTGGACATTTTCATACTCTTGCAGTCTGTACTCAGCGAGTGTGAGTATAGGACCCAGCCCACTCCAAACTGGAGTGGACAGGCTGAAAGAAGCTTTGCAACTAAAACCAAAGAAATTCATATTTTTCTGAGTCCAAGCTGCAAACAGAGATGCAGCAGTAGCACTGCTGATAAACAGGATGCTACTTCTGAATCATGTAAAAGCAACTGTAGACTGGCTGTTGTTTTTTATATTGAACAGTTACTTGAGAAAATACAAAAGTATTGGGTCTCCCTAAACAGACGGCATGGAAAACTGAAGAATAATTTTACAGATAGGAGAATCATCAAAACAACCCAGTCCTCAGAGTTAAGAATGTACAGGCAGTGAAATATCAGATTTAGCCCTAGAAAATTTAAACAAACCCCGGCAGATCAGAACAAGCAAAACAGACTGTAGAGGATTCCTCTACCCATAAAGCTGCATCAGCTGTTTATACCACTGGATTCAGCTTGTCAAGCTTAGTAAAGGTATGGATTAGGCTCTACACAAGGGCTTGAAAAGTCTATATTTAGCTGAACTAAGCAGATGAGGCTCTTGGCCACTGTATACATTGCTACAGAAGGAGGTATGAAAAGCTACTGTAATGGCCAAAGGCTTCAGTGTGGTGGGAGCTATTGTTCTGAGAGCAAGTAAAAATATTTAACTAGAACAAAATGGGAAAGTAAAAATAACTGACCTCATACTCAAACTGTCCTCTGAAAGATGCTGTCAACTTTTCCAACTACAACAAGGGTTTTAAACAAGGTTTGACTGCACACAGCTAGTAGTAGCCCAAAACTGCTATCCTCACTGTACATTGAAATTACATATACTGGCTTCCAAGTGATCACCCTATTGAAACGCCTTAAGTGATCTTTAACCTAACTGTGAACCACTTTGTGCCCCCTTTCCTCAATGAGCAGAGCTTGACTCACGGGGTATTTCCATGAGCAGAACTGTTTGCCGGCTTCCATGTGAATATTGGCATAAAAATTTGAATTTCCATAGTTAAAGACACACTGATATAGACTATTCCTACAGAATACTCCTACCAGAATAGGAACAAGGACTTCCTGCTGGGCTGTCCTCAGTTTCCACAGCAAATTTGTGCCAGTGGACGAGAAACACACGGAGATTGCAAGCTTTTGGCACAAGTAGCGTGAGGTCCTGGAGCGGTCTCCTAGGTAATTTACAAATGCATTTTTTCCTCAAGGTGATTTAATTAACAGTAGGAAAAAAAAAAAAACACATTGCTCCAGCTGAAGAAAATCACCTAATCTATACCAGTTGAGCAGCGCTGTCCTTTCCTTCCCCCCCCAAATTCTAGCACAAATGGTGCTTTGTATTTTGTATCTATTTTTTTCGTGAGAATGCTCCACTTTGGCCCTACAGTTTCTTTTTTCTATCCCATTTGCCTGAGTGAAACACAAACATAGAAAAGGCTTCAGTCAAACATTTGACCCCCTACGATGATCAAACGGGTTCAAAGTTAGACAATGCGGGATCACATGCAGTGTGCTTGGGAGCAGCCTCCAGCTACAGGCCCTGCTGCAGTGATTCGCACATTAATCTGTCAATATGAACCCTGAATGTGTTACCATCAACAGAGAACTGGAAAAAGCTCTCAATAGCACTTTTGTGCGATTATTCAGATCTGCTGATGAGATAAAAATGGACATAAGTAGTTCTGCAAAGGAACTGCAAATCTAGTATTGAGGCAGAGCTTACAAAAGCACAGTCTGAGCTGGAAATAGGCTTGGGGAACTGGAATCCCAGCCAACATCACAGGACTGAAACAGCTGCCTGCCTCCTCGCAATCTGTCCCCACTTCCAGAGGCAACAACTGCGAAGGGCACACACACCAGGAGCTGGCCTCTGCCTGCTCGGAGCCCTGCTCTCCTTCCACTGCAGGGGAGGCGAGGAGAGGTCAGGGCTGGCTAGAAGGGATGCTGGGAGGAAGATCATGAGAAGATGGAAAAGACTGAGGCAAGAGACGTTGCTGTTTCACAGGCCTGGAGGGGAGAAGCTAAGGAGAGCTGCTCCTGAGAGGGAGCAGAGGACCAAGCACCAGGAGGCAGAAGTAGAAGCAGCCTTTTGAGCAACAGCAGGAGTAGATTTGATCCATTTGTGTCATCAGTCCAAGAAACAGCGTCAGCCTGCAGACACCACAGAACAGTACGCTGACGTCCCAGCAAAATCCCACTGTGCTGCAAGAGCTCACAAATTAAGGAGCATAGTTTTTACCCTACAGCAGCCTTTTGAAAGAGATTGCTGAACACATGGTCCTGTTTGCACAGCAAGGTCAACTCACTGAAGCCTGCAATTTGGTACTGAAATGTGTATGCAGGTACAAACTTGGTGTCCTCTAATAAAGTACCTACAGATCTCCCTGACAGTTCTCACTGTCTATGAATTATCTCTAGTTACTACTTTTTAACTATGTGACAAAAAGTTTTGCAGGGCCAAACACGTTCTTCTTGGGGAAAACATCAGGTGCCCAAAGCAAATTTGAAAGAGAAAACATCTAATTGGTGAAGGATAAAGGAGAGGAAAGAAAATGCTCCCGAGATGTCCTGCAAAGACTTTCATTCCCTGTGAATCAGTATTAACATGTGAGAGGCTAGAGCAATAACATGTCAGCTGGGAATCAGGGAAACATCTGGTGCTGAAGCTTATGATGCAGGACATGTAAGACAACAAGACAATACAGATGGGGAGAGAGACAGAAATTCACTAATGCAGCTAACAAATACTATTCTACTCTTTTGCCCAACCTGTAGAAAGCTTGTTCCATGTTTTTGCCCAAACGCAGTAAGACAGCATAAGAGATTAATCATTGTATATCCAAGAATATCTCGTTAGAATGACTTAAAACAACTGAATAGCTGATTTTAAAATGTTATTAAAAGGATTTAACTCAGGTTGAGACAATGTAAAACTAATTTGATAATCAGATAAAAGTGAAACCGTACTACTGATGTATTTGAATATCATCAAAACTGTTATAGGCAAAAAAAAGTCTTTGATATTGTAGCTATTTAAACTGATGTATCACACATTTTACAGTGACTTAAATGAGAATTAGTGCAAACAGAAGCATTAGCAATCAGAAGATACAAATTACTTTACTAGAAGCTTTGCCTTTTGTCCTTTAACGCAAAATTGCTTCTGTGTTCGCAGTTAAGAGATGTTCAGGTTTCAATATTTTGACAAAGTCGGTGACATTTTTTAATACAGGCAACAATAAGAGATCTGTAAATCTGAACCGTTCCCATAGTATGAATGTTTATGAGGACCTCAATCTGTAATCTTCAATGAGATAATGTTTTAAGTAATTTTAGCAAAAAATTAACCCATGTAATATCTGTTATATTAAAACCATTTAATAACCACTACCAGACAGAAGGCAAGTATAAAAATATATCAAAAAATAAAACATGCAAACAAAAGGCCATTTGAAGGGAAAAAAAACAAACCATAGTAATATATAAATAAAACAGAAGCAACATGTACTACTACAGAACTAACCTATTAACTTTTGTTTAATGTCATCATTTATCCACTTCTCGCTGAGGAGTAAAAGAAACTCTGCTATAGGATTACACCTTTCTCACAAAGTAGATCCTAAAATACACTCTCTCTTTACCTACAAAAACAGCCAGTACAATTGTATCTTTCTACAGATAAGGAATTTGTCAGAAACAGGATTGGAGGGATTCGCTCGGATTATCCAGGCGGCCAACAGTAGAGTTGAACGCAGAATACAGGTCTTCAGAGCTCACTGCCAAGTACAGTAGTATCCAGTGCACCCATTGTTAAATGCGTTGTTCAGAATTTTTAAATTTTGACTAGCAAATAGATCATTGGATTAGTTGTTACACTTTGTGTATTTATTTTAAATTCCATTTTCAGTCTTTGACACTTAACCAAAAGCATGTTGAAGGCTTAGAAAATGTTAACACTAGCAAAAAGTGACACTTCAATTCTTATTTCACACAATTACAGACGTATTTGCTTCTCCTTCTCTCCCTGAATCAGTCCAAATCCAAACAACTTTTAGTACCAGCCACAAACCTGGGAACTGCATGGGTGAGTAAGTTCTTCACACTTCAGTAACAGCTTTCATCTAACTATTTCATGAACGTGAATTTACACACATAAGAACAGCTTTGTACACAAGGTATATACAGCCTTTCAGGCATGTGAAGACCCAGCTGGAAAAAGTGTGGGCCCACCTCTGCCATGAAGTCAGTGTTGTTTTTTCCATCAATATCAATTAAGAGAGGCTTGGGCTCTATGTCATTTGGAAAGCCTCAGGCCAGGGCATCCTGACTTACAGAACAGCTGAGCACTAAACCGTATTAGTCTACAGGAGAAAGGCTGCAAAGTCT